ATATATTGATGCTTGAGGTTTGATAAATCTGAAGAATCGTAGTCAATGTTAATTTTGTAAAACAGTTAATACGACCACATTAAACTATTAACATGAATTATTAGGTACAATAATAAATATTAAATAAACTATTAAACAGTAATCATAATAACTAGAACGCAATATTTAAAATGAAAACTTCGTTCAGCATATATAATAACAGAAACACTAAGTTGTTTCTGTAAATTTTTGAATTTACGATTATTGAGACTGCAAACATACATTTACGGAGAATTAATTCAATAAAGTTCTTTCTTTAGGTTCATATTATGATAAAAATCATTAAAAGCGTATAAATAAATATATTGTTGTTATTTTTATTAATTAATATAAAATATTTGCTTTTAATGCTTCGTAAATCTATTGTTAAGCAGCTAATTCATTCTGTTTTGTATACTTACATCAGTTTTTAAATATATCTCACGATCGGATCCGTCGAAGTTCGAAGATTCTATAGTTTTTAGTACAGTATCAGACCAGTATAATCTAGATCTCGTATGATCAATTACTATCGCAGAGACTATGCCAATATTACGATAGGCAATTGCTGTTACGTTAGAACCCATTGTATCGGATCGGTATATTTTACTAGTTGGTTTATCGAAGACCATCCAGTTGGTTTGACTCCAAAATAGCAACCTGTATCATAGTTTGGTTTAAATAGAATTCCAAAATATACGACGTGAGTAATATAATTATAATTATATATTTGTATTTTGGAAAGAATGCTTGAAGCAAATGTAATTGAAAATTTAATTGGAGTTACTCATGTAAAAAATAGTTTAATGTAGATACCCCTGTTTCGGATGAACAGCGATTGCCATCGCTCTATTTCGGTGTCCAATGGTGGCTAGTTTAGCACATTTTTGTTCTTCTAAATTGCATATCTAAAAATTTTAGTAAGAAATGTGAACAAATAGGGGAAAGTCAAACAGTGCCGAACAGTGTCCAAATAGTACCGTCCAAAGTTAGTTCTGTTCGTTTCCGTTAAATTGTAGTACTGAATTTAAATAAAATAGACAGATATAATTGCAACTTTGTAAATGCTTAATTTGTTTCGCAAAGTTTTTTGCACATTCACATACTATAATCTAAAATGTTTCTAAAATGTGGCCTAAAATGTGTTATGAAATAGAGATCACATTTTTAATGTGATAGACAAAGAAGATCATGAATGTGGTTTTGCAAATGCTTCTCGGATGTATTGATTGATTTAAGTATAAAATTTGTAAAGGGAATTCGATAAAAATCATTTATTATAACAATTAAATGTCATTTTTGCGAATTACTAATTGTTATTACCGAACTTCATAAAAATCGTTTCTGTTTTTTTACTAAATTTCATTTGTACTGAAGATTGATTTTCAGTTCATCATCGTTTTCAGTTCAAAATATTATGTAAAGAAAATTAGAGCGGTCGATACTGCTTGTCCTTCTCCTATATTTTTCATAATATTAGTTCAATTTAGAAACTTTGTGCAGGGTAAATGTGTAGTAAGTGTGTATGATACCTTAATGCTGTTCGCGTATTCCGTATCAATGAAATATACATTGTCAGTACTCCAATCAACAGCAAGAGCGCTTGGTCTGCCAATTCCGGCAACAGTTTTTCGGTTTCTGTTCTTCATATGTATTTTACTAATCATACCTACCACTTCTAATAAAAAGTAAAACTGTTGTTAGCATTATGTTGTTATCATTGACGCGTTTTTCATAATTTTCACGTTATCAACAAACGTTTTCAACAATAGTTAATCAATCAGTTTCGAATCAACTAAACATTGCAATATTTAAAATTCTCAAAGAATAATTCTTTTATTGGAAGTAATGTCGATATAAGCTCAACAAACTACAATACTTTGACCTTTTAATGCCTTCATATTCAGAAATCTTAATTGGATTCACAGGAACATAAAGAAATTCTTACCATTACTCCAGTAAACTGATTCCTCTTTTGCGTTCACGTCGATGCTAGATATTTCACTTAAGTCTTTATAGACGACTTCAATCGAATTTAAGTTTGCTGATAGTTTCCTAATAGTGTTATCAGCAACAGCAATTATTTCCATTTGTTGCCCTGTTATAATTCACAATTTAACAGGCGTTTTAATAAATCATTAATTGTATATTCTTTTCTTCTGGAACATGTTTCTAAGTACTAATTATAACACTTTAATGTACACATCGGATTTAAATCTAGTTACTGGCAGAATTGCATAATTATTATCATTTTCTGATCGTATACGTATATACGTTCTCAGAATGAAGATATTACAATTCTTGTCACTTTGTCGCGAAAAAAAGTGCACGTTAAAGCATTAATTAATAATAAGAACGCCGGTCAAGCAATTTAAACATAATTCTTACCAGCCACTTTACAAGATCTTTTATCGTTGCGAAGAACGAAGCCTTCGTGACAAGAACAAGTGAAAGAACCCTCGCTGTTGTGACAAATTTGTGAACAGACGTTCTGCTCGCATTCATTAATATCTTTACACGATAAATCATTATCAAATTGATAACCAGTTTGACAACTGCATACCGCACCTTGGGGTGTCTTATGACACATGGATATGCAAGGATTCTCGATCGTGCATGCAAGTGCTGCGAAAGCATATCATATATTGAATTTGAAAAAAGTTAATTTTAACATATGAGAAGAAACTCCAGCATCAGATATTCTCCTAGTGCTCTGACTTCTAAAAATGATTATTTACCGCATTTTCCATGTTCATCACTTTGATCCATACAATCTTCTCTTCCGTCGCAGACATTTTCAAAGGGCAGGCAAATCCCGTCAGAACATCGGAATTCTTTACACTTAGTATCGATGTTAGCCGTGGCCTTTCTCGCATTACTACCATCGCAGAACTTTTCGTCAGATCCGTCCCCACAATCGTCAGATTGGTCGCAGACCCAAGTTTGATCGATGCAATTTTTATTCTCGCAAACAAATTCTTCTTTTTGGCATCGAGCACAATTACGTTCGTCATCGTGTTTTGGGCACTCTGGCACTCCGTTGCATCTAGAATTGCATTTAATGATGAAACACAGAATATCATATAGAATGCAATTCGCCACGTGTAATTAACGTATGCCATACAAAACTACATACCTTGCTTCCCTGGGAAGACATATGTATGTGTTATAGCATCTGTATTCATCCGCAGTACAATTGACGATGTCAGTGTTGCTTTTTCCTGAGCAAGCGTACTCGTCACTGTCATCTTCGCAATCATTGATTGCGTTGCATTTTAAGGACATATCGATGCAACGACCATTGGCGCACTCAAACATTTCAGATGGGCATGAGTTTCTTTGACACATCTCGCTCTCGTCAGAACCATCTGGACAGTCGGTCTATTTATTTAACGGTTATTTATCTGTCGACTAGTGTGGTTGAAACGCTGCATTAAGAAAAATCGTCACCTCACCTCACCGTCACATTTCCATGTCTTAGGAATACACGGTCCACTTTCACAGGCGAAACTATCTACATCGCACACGTGCTGACCGCAATTTATTTCATCAGAATAATCAGTGCAATCGTTTTTCCCATCGCACACTGCGTACTTTGATATACAAGATCCTTCGTAACACTGATACTCGTCTAAAAATTATGAAAATCCGCGGTGAATGATGATCGACGTTTTAATCTCTGGGAGAATTTTATCTAGTTATGTCTGATAACCATCCAAATAAATATTTACTGTTGTTGCATTGCTTTTTGTCACAGTTTTCTTCGTCCGAGTGATCGCCGTCCGGACAGTCGTAGTGCAAATTACACCGTGATGTTATGTTTATGCATGCACCGCTTCTGCACAGGAACTGAGTGCTGTTTTTACACTTCGATGACTCGAATTCGCATGTACTCGGTTCATCTTCGCCGCTCGGACAATCTTTTTGGCCATCGCACCTAAGATTATTATAAATTGTACTTCACTATAACAGAGATTCGGTTTCTCTAAAACTTTAATCGCGAGTTCGTCATCGCGTAATCAAATATGTTGTATAAGAAACAGTTGTATTTTCAAACGATGCATACCTTTGATATAATTTTATGCACTTGTCATGTTCACCACATTTCATTTCATCTGGTTCGCACGCGGTTTGTGGGATGCACGTGCCATTGTTATTATCTCCAAACGGCATCATTTTAGGTGGACACGCGCAGATCTGTATGTTCATGCAAAGATATGGAAAATCAGAGTTGAATGATAAAATATAGAATATCGTGCAATTTAAACAATATCAGGCTTACACGTGAGTGAAGATCAGTGATCAGACAGACGTGGGAACAGTTACCATTGTTTTTATGACATGCGTGCTCTTTTACGTATGTTTTGTGCGAGCTAACTAGAAGTAATTCTTTCAGATGTTCTGGCACCTCTGTCGAAAAACAGAATAAGAATATTAAATAATGTTGATAATAACTTCGTCTCCTCCGTATCTAACTTTCTTGATTCTGTTCTACTTACGCAATGGGAGACTCTTTTGATACCGTTGCGCGCTGGTTTTACTGGACCAGTGTAACTGGTTTGAATTATACTGCGTCCAAAATATATAATCATCGAGAATAGCAAGGCTTACGGGTTCTGCTAATCCAGTACGAATGATGTGTGTCTCGAAATCTTAAAACAGAAGTTACGATACTAACATCAATCGTATCTAATTGCGCTTCAAACGTAGCATAATTACCAACCCTTAATCGCCGTACTGCCGATCCGACCTGTACCCTGATCGCTCCAAAACAGACGTTTTAAATCTCTATCATAACACAATGCTATTTTCGGTCCAAGCAAAGGTGTTTTGATACCTTGGACTGGTGTTCTGAGACCGATTCCGTGCATTTTCATTAAATCTATGCGATATTTTCCATTCACGCGGAAAACGACGAACATCACTCTATAATTTTAGTATCATAATGAATAAACACAAAATTATGTCTTTTCAATGCTTTTAGTCGATTGATTACCCTTCTTCTGGCACGAGAGCAATAGCATGAGGCTCGTCTTGAAAATAGAAAACTGTTTTTTCATGGGTATTTAAACTGTAAACCTCGATGATCTTGTGATTTTTATCCGATAAATATAAATTATTCCCAATGTAGTCGACGTCCATTCCACTTAATAGTTTATTTCCTGTAGATGTTTCGGATGTCTCTGCCCCAGTAGTCACGTTGATATGATAAATCGTATCCGTTAACTGATCGTTCACGAACAGACCGTCTATACAATTTTTTAAATTATCAGTATTGGGAATAAATAATCCACGGCGAGCATGTATAATTGTTACGGTACTTGTTAGCGGATACTAACGCACGAAAATAAAGAGTACATTTCATCATTAAATTAAGATTAATGTTTCTACTCTCAGTTTCAAAGGTGCTGTATATTTTATGCATATAAGTACTTTTACAATGGCTTTGATTAGAACGAATTCAACACTTATATAGCAGCCATACTTACCAGTTAGAGGATTATAAGTAACTGCGGTGACGTGTTTCAATATGGTGTTTGCGATCATTTTAGGTCTCCCTAATAATTCATGGTAATAGTTTATAAATACTTTTTTTGCCACGATAATAAGATGCATCTGCTTCTGAACCGCTAAAATTTTCGTCAGTTTTAGAATATATTGTTAATGTAGCTTTTATAAAGTACTTACCACGGCATGTGTGCTGATCTGAATTTAGTACCTTGTCTAATGAACAAGCACACGTGTACCCACTCTCTGAATTCAGTAGACATAATTGTGAACAAGGCTTTGAATTGCAAGGATTTCGAATCTATTGCATAAATATAAAGCATAAAACAATAAGTAACTTTTGTCATAAGATTGGTATGCTAGCACAGAAAGACATAAAATTCACCTTAGGTTTCAAAACAGAATGATATATGTCCATTGCATAAACGACACTGTTCGCTTGCGCTAAAGTTTTCCAATCTTTACCAGTGAATTTATCACATGTTTCTATGGTTTTCGATGCCCTTTCACTCCAATAGATCTTATTTTCAAAGACTGCTATAGCCATAGGCATTTTTACTATATCTCTCAATATAGTCTGGAAATATGTGAATTATTCATGATGATCATTATTCATTGTTCATAATTATCAAGATTCCTTTACATAGCATTATAGAGGAATCCATACCCTGCGATCAGAACCGTCCAGACGGACTGTTTCAATTAATTTCAATTTGCTATCTATCCAGTACAATCTGTCATTTGCATAGTCAATAGCCAAACTGTTCGGCCACTCTAAGTTTTTCGAGACTATTGCACTGGTATTTTTTCCGTCCATGCTTGATTTCCATATATGTGAATCTGTGCCCCATTCCATCCAATACATAATGCTAACAAAAAATAATTGTATAATCCATGATATACGCTTTTCATAAGGTATTCTTTTTCATTTGGGAAGAATGAAAAAAAGGCCAATCGTGTGAGAGGAAGTATACATTGCATTTGAGACACTCACCCACTCTTTGGTAATAGAGCTAGACCTCGTGGTTTACCAGTTCTTTCAGTAATTATAATAGTACAATAAGAACCATCATTACTACAAACTCCAATATGCTTGAGATCACTGTCAGTGAAATATATGTTGTCTGTAATCCAATCGACTGCAATATCATCTGGACTGCTTAGACCTTGAAAGTATTAAGTATAAAAAAATGACGTTCTATGTAATATACAATGGCTCCAGAAAATCTTCCTACACTAAACTTTCGGTTTTCAACAAATTTTCGCTGCCTGAACTGCTTTAATTTCGTAAAAACGAGACGTACGATAATACACCTAGACTCATTTTAAAGCTTGAAGCCTGTACTTCTATAAGTCATCGTTTATATCTTCCTAACAGGCTTTTACATGATATGGCAGACGGAAAAGTGAAGGCATGGGTTTACTCGAAAATAATATAAATTGAAACGTTTCTAAAAACATTAGAAATAAAGATAGAATAAATCGACAATAGATTTAAAGATTGAAGCTTCTCCTTTACAGCGAGCCCACAAAATTAAGGTTTTTTAGTCGTTTTATGAAACAGAAACGGGAAACATGTTCGATAAAGCCCTCGTGTTTCTCCGTATTATTGTCAAGTTGGCAAGACACGTTATATTTAAAGCTCAATAAAGTGATTAAAAAAATCGCACACCAAAGTTTAAGGGGTCGTATTAAAGAGAAAGCTTTCGTCGTTGGATCTATGCTAGAATCAGAGTCACAAGCAAAATTTTCAAATGGATTTACAGCTGTTCCAATCCGTAAGATTTTCAAGAAAGAGCATGTCTTCAGGTTTCCCACTTGCTACATTATACACATATAGACATGTTACGTGAAAATGAACGACACATAGAAAAACTAGAAGCTTGAAGCTCTAAGATGAGTTCAGGTTTATTAGTGTACCGCTTTTTTGTACGAAATTGTAATAGTCTAAATATCGAGAATTTGTTAAAAATCGAATGTAAGCAGACTTCCCGAAGCCACTGAATATAAAAGTTATAATAGTAATTTCATGTTGAAGTTATATTATTTACCAGATGTTACAATGACCATCTTTTGAAAACCATTGTCTGAACTTCTAACAATTACTTCATTTCCATTTTGAATGTCAGACCAATACAAATTATTAGCATCTATAGAAATCGCTACAGCATGTTGCAAGTCTTGCACTATTGAATAATACACCTCAGAAGTAAGGGAGAAACCACGGATTTCAAACTTTGTAGAAAATATCAACGAAGCTTCTCCAGCAGTTCCTCCAGCTGCAAACAATAAACTGTAGCTTGAATCGCTAATTTACCAATCATACAACATATGAATTATTCTCGATTTTTTGTGCATTAACTTATATACTGTTTGAGAACTTTATGCAAGAATAATGTACTATGCAACAACAGTCTCAATTGTGGCAACTAATTACGAATTAGATCGAAAAAAGGAGTTTTTCTAATTCGAATAATTTATATATACATATATATAATTCTAGTACCATCAGCTTTGCAGCTTTTCATATCACTATCCAAATTATAGTTATATTTGCAAGCGCATGTGTAGGAGCCTGGAGTATTAAAACACATTTGATCGCATGCGCCAAAACGTTCACATTCATTTACATCTGTAAAGTAATATATACACATATATACATATAAGATCTATGTCTATCTGTAGAATTTTTGTGTAAAATATAAAAATGTAAGATGTAAACGTTTTAACTTTTACCTGTACATGTTCGATTGTTAAATAATTTATAGCCCGATCTACATGAACATTGAGCACCCTGAGGCGTTCTTCTGCACAAATGTGAACATTTCGCTGTTAGCTTGCACGATGTATCAGCTGGAAGATAGATACTTTAACGTCTAATGACATTGCTTTTTCTCTTTACTCTTTATCTTTGATAAGAGCTTACCCTTTTTACACCCGTCAATATTTTCGTCGGAATCGTCACCGCAATCATCCTTTTCGTTGCAAGTTGCGTTCAAAAAGATGCATCTTTGATTTTTGCATAAGTATCGGTCGAGTTCGTGATTACATTTGTCGCTTGGTACCGGTCTATTTCCTGTAAAGAATAAAATATACCGCAGATATATTGAAGTCAATTCGATATTGCCGACAACTGACTAAAATGTAACAGCGATGTAAAAGTTACCGCAATTCTTTTCGTCGCTAATATCAGGACAATCTGCAACACCATCGCAGACCCACTCGTTCCTTATGCAATAACCATCGTTACATCGAAAATGAATGTTACTGCATTTCAACTGTTACGATCGACAAAGGGCACAAATATTGAACGATTCTTTAAACTGTTGTATAGTATTATTGAACAATCTGAATGAAAGATTTCAGTAAATCATCTTACGTCGTTCACGCAGTTTGTATATTCGTCGCTGTTGTCGTCGCAGTCGGGTTTAGCATTACAAAACTTTTCGATCGGTATACAAGATTTATCAGCACATTGAAATTCATCGGAACTGCATTGAATCGCGTAGGTGGTAGGCTAACGTGAAAATAGGAAACATAAATAAATTATGTGACATACACATTAAATAAATTCATTGAGATGTAACGCGCGCGGTGTTTTCTTATTTACTTTATAGTCCTGGCAATTTTTTTCATCGGTGAGATCTTTACAGTCCTGCGCTCCATCGCACATAAATGAGGATGACAAACAACGGTTGTCGCATGAGAAGAATTCCGGTGTCTTGCAATATATACCTTCGGATACGAAAATGTAAACAAATTTGAAAGTCCGCTAAGGCTAATCTAACGATCGAATGGGATATAATCGAATTACCTGCTGAGTCGATGCGATTGTATAGAAGATTCAGGGCAAGAAGGATGAACAAATTCCGACACATAATCTATAGGAAACCCATTGAATCGATTAATATTTGAGGCTGTTCGATTGAAACGGCGCGTGTTGAAATTATTTACAAGTGATTTTCGTTCGAAGGATATACATAGTTTTCTACGATTTCGTATTTCGATCAAAGAGTAGAGAAGATATTGAATAATCGTTAAAATGAAGTCGAAGATATTCTAAAATCAGATTTTGATATTTGTTCCGTTCTCACAAGACAAATTATCCATTTAACGCTAAACGTGCCAAACGTACCAACGTCGATCAAATGTTTTCTTCACTGAAATTACAGAATTGTTTACCTAAGAAGACTTTTCACTTACAGAACTATTAGATATATTTTTTTATTCGAACTTTATCATCAGAAAAATTTGCAAGAGACCTGGATAAATTTCCATCTGTAATTTTGATAAAGCACTTTTCGGCGGCACGTTTTGCGTAAAAACAGAATGGAATTTTAAAAATAAAGAGACTGCTTTAATCAAATATAATGTTCTGCATACGTATTTCTTGCGTACATTTAAGAAGAAATGGCATAAGAAGAAAATTATTCGGCACGTTTTGATATACACTTACTGAGATAGTTAACACCACTGCTAGCACGCTCCGTGGTGCCCCTGCGACTGTGATGAAAAGGCTCTGCAAGTTGATGGAAGGAAATCGACTTATAAAAGAAACTGTTGTCATGAGTATATATGGTGGTCCTACCGGTGAGGTATCGCAGCAATTTGTTCAACGGATTTTGGAGTTAAATAGAGGTATCATAAATAAATAAATAATATATATATATATATATATATATATATATATATATATATATATATATAAATAAATATATAAATAAAAATATATGAATAATGAATAATTATATATATATATATATATATATATAATCAAATAAAGGCGACACATCGATATAGCTAACATCTTTAGAATTAATTAATAAACAAAATATACAATACATTTCAGTATTCAATGTAAAAATTTAATTTATTTATGAACGATGACAAAACTTTACCGTAACAATTATCAGTATATCTAACTAAGTTTATACACTTGCGTTGATAGCGATTGATACAACCATATTTCTAGGTAGAATGTTTTAAACGAACGAAACGATTATAACACAATAATTCTTGATATTTCCATCATCATTATAATTAATTTGCAAATTTATACACTGGTAATATGTGGTTACAAAAATCGTATATTGCATAAGGAACGATTATTGGACCACGTAATCGCATCTATAGTTCAATCTTTCGTGATTATCGCAAACACCGCAAGATATTAATGGCAATGTACAGTTTTGCCACAAGAAATGTATACAAAGGACGTGTAAATATCAGCGATTATGTTAGTCATCTTTCGGTAAGATAAATACGAATTCGTTTCATATGTAAGAAATGATGTGACTGTTGTTATTACGTTACAAATACAAACTTAGTTCGAGATCGTGATACTTTCTTATATTATTTGTTTAATGTAAACAGTAGTACACAATGTACCGCTAAAAGATTATTACATGATCAACGAAACTAATAATACTAACTTAATAATGTAGTTAATAATCTGCATATATTTTTGGACAACATTTTGTTCAGACGTAATGTACAAATAAAGTCGATAATATCGTATCATATTCATTAAGAAAGAACAGCGCATGAACTTAGAAATTAAAAGGTGTGAAACTGTAGTCGTTACTTAAATTATGTACCGAATAACGTAAATATTTCAGTAGCAATCGAACCGATTGTTGCGGTTAAGTAGGGTAGCGTTTACGATCATAAATATGTAAACATATATAGTTGGTTTTTTTGGTCTCGTTAGAAATCAAAGGTACAAGTCTAAAGGAACGACGAGAAGTTGGATTTTTTATTAGTTCGTGGCGTTTATTGTTATCATAGTCATTAAATATCTGTCTATAGTTGATTGCGGGATTTTTGAGTGGGAAGTTTCAGATATCTTGAACGCAATTTAAATACGAATTTCGTGTTTCATCCACCAAATTGCGACTTATGTCCTCGTCAGTTCGACGACCGGATGATCTCCACGATCAAAATTTCCTTTACGAAATCGATCAGACCATTTTCTGCTCGCACGGGATGAAAACACACTTTCCTCGTAAACGACGCAAATATTGTTTGCGGCAACCGTCGCTGTATTTGAAAATGTATGCGCGATTAATTCTTCAAATACGGAATACTTGTCATTCTCTAACTTTTCCTCTCGAATGCCTCCTCTAGACTGAACTCTCAGCATTCAACCCTCAGCCGGCGGACGCTGCGCCGGGTCTTTTTGACCGAGTGTTCTTGCGGAACCAACGCAACTGAAATTCCGCCATGAGCCGTGGCTGGTTGACCAGTCGCCTTTCGAAGGTTAAAGTATTTACTTCCGGTCACTTATCACTCTGTACTTATAAAACACACCACGAAACGTATAATCGGCAACCGTATTCATGTCGGCAGAGCAGGGAATAAACTGTAAAACGCCCCGAATAATTACATTTACATCGTTTAATCTCTGTAAAGAAGAATCACAGAATATCGAATTTTGTTTTCGAAGATGCNAAATAAATAATATATATATATATATATATATATATATATATATATATATATATATATATAAATAAATATATAAATAAAAATATATGAATAATGAATAATTATATATATATATATATATATATATAATCAAATAAAGGCGACACATCGATATAGCTAACATCTTTAGAATTAATTAATAAACAAAATATACAATACATTTCAGTATTCAATGTAAAAATTTAATTTATTTATGAACGATGACAAAACTTTACCGTAACAATTATCAGTATATCTAACTAAGTTTATACACTTGCGTTGATAGCGATTGATACAACCATATTTCTAGGTAGAATGTTTTAAACGAACGAAACGATTATAACACAATAATTCTTGATATTTCCATCATCATTATAATTAATTTGCAAATTTATACACTGGTAATATGTGGTTACAAAAATCGTATATTGCATAAGGAACGATTATTGGACCACGTAATCGCATCTATAGTTCAATCTTTCGTGATTATCGCAAACACCGCAAGATATTAATGGCAATGTACAGTTTTGCCACAAGAAATGTATACAAAGGACGTGTAAATATCAGCGATTATGTTAGTCATCTTTCGGTAAGATAAATACGAATTCGTTTCATATGTAAGAAATGATGTGACTGTTGTTATTACGTTACAAATACAAACTTAGTTCGAGATCGTGATACTTTCTTATATTATTTGTTTAATGTAAACAGTAGTACACAATGTACCGCTAAAAGATTATTACATGATCAACGAAACTAATAATACTAACTTAATAATGTAGTTAATAATCTGCATATATTTTTGGACAACATTTTGTTCAGACGTAATGTACAAATAAAGTCGATAATATCGTATCATATTCATTAAGAAAGAACAGCGCATGAACTTAGAAATTAAAAGGTGTGAAACTGTAGTCGTTACTTAAATTATGTACCGAATAACGTAAATATTTCAGTAGCAATCGAACCGATTGTTGCGGTTAAGTAGGGTAGCGTTTACGATCATAAATATGTAAACATATATAGTTGGTTTTTTTGGTCTCGTTAGAAATCAAAGGTACAAGTCTAAAGGAACGACGAGAAGTTGGATTTTTTATTAGTTCGTGGCGTTTATTGTTATCATAGTCATTAAATATCTGTCTATAGTTGATTGCGGGATTTTTGAGTGGGAAGTTTCAGATATCTTGAACGCAATTTAAATACGAATTTCGTGTTTCATCCACCAAATTGCGACTTATGTCCTCGTCAGTTCGACGACCGGATGATCTCCACGATCAAAATTTCCTTTACGAAATCGATCAGACCATTTTCTGCTCGCACGGGATGAAAACACACTTTCCTCGTAAACGACGCAAATATTGTTTGCGGCAACCGTCGCTGTATTTGAAAATGTATGCGCGATTAATTCTTCAAATACGGAATACTTGTCATTCTCTAACTTTTCCTCTCGAATGCCTCCTCTAGACTGAACTCTCAGCATTCAACCCTCAGCCGGCGGACGCTGCGCCGGGTCTTTTTGACCGAGTGTTCTTGCGGAACCAACGCAACTGAAATTCCGCCATGAGCCGTGGCTGGTTGACCAGTCGCCTTTCGAAGGTTAAAGTATTTACTTCCGGTCACTTATCACTCTGTACTTATAAAACACACCACGAAACGTATAATCGGCAACCGTATTCATGTCGGCAGAGCAGGGAATAAACTGTAAAACGCCCCGAATAATTACATTTACATCGTTTAATCTCTGTAAAGAAGAATCACAGAATATCGAATTTTGTTTTCGAAGATGCTTGTTGATGACTTCGCTAGCTGTTACATTAATTAATAGATTTACAAACGCATCGAATCGATCGATTGATTCGCATTCGAACCGAACGCCGTCCTCGTACATCGTTTTATCGTTTATCTTTACCGCGCTTCCTCCGTAGCCGACAATCCGCATGCATCGTGCCACACTCTCAGCTTTTAACGTCTGTTATATATCTATATTCATAGTAATAAATACAAATAATTGAATACCACAGTTCTTTGCACGCCTACGCAACAATGCTAAATTCATCTGAAGCTTAACAAGTTCAACGGACTGCCGCACGTCGGTCGTTATCAATGACGGCGCGTGGGACTATCGGTTCGGTGAATTCTGCCTAAAAATCTGTCATCGTGCATTTAAATAACTTAAATCCTTGTGATTTGCAACAAACACCAATATCTGCTGTGACTTTCACAAGTAACAGCAATATAAAATTTGTTCGTTTGTGTTGTTTTGTTACTTTGTTATTTGTGTTTGTTAGTTCTTTTCGTATAATGATCGGATGTGAGATAGAACAATCGAATTTGATAACTATTGATAGCAGCCGATTCGTATAAGTTTCCAGTCCGGGGATAGACATTTCAAAAATGTTCACTTCCGTTTCTTGCCCTTGCAGATCTTTGGCATAAAATTGCCGCATCTGGGAAAGTCCTTCGGCTTATGCGGTAGATCTGATTTATGTCCCACTCTGAGGATCATTTCCATACCATTCAGCTGATGGTATATTATGTGGCAGTGAAATAGCCAGAAACCTTGATAAAAAGAACGCATTAATTAATGTTGACATTAATCCTTAATTTTCCAAATACATTGATAAGTGCCCATAAAATTGGTCAACAATGTTAGAGGCGTTCCGCTCTGTTCAATTATTGTTTCAACACGATTTTCGCGATATTATTAAAAGAAATTAATCGCTGTATTTGGAAATATTTTGTAGAAAATCGTCCCGCGCAAAAGTCATTCGCAAAGCGTTCACGGTTGCAACGAACACAATTCTTAAAGTTGACAATTCGATTATTCCTTGAAAATTACATTTCCCTGAAACCGAAAACTTCGCGTTCGTATTCGGTGAATCGGAATCTGTGAGAATCGCCTATTGGTTATCGGAACGTTAAAGCAGCGCGATTATGGCTCAAATAAAAACCGCGGTGCTGACATGTACCTGGGTTATGTGCACGGAATCGGAATATAACATATCCATTATTCGGCACGCTGATAGTATCCTTGTTAGGAGGGGCGTGGAAGTTTCTTCTTATCTTTCTGTCTCTGTCCAGTTTCTCCAGATCAGCAACCGTCATAGGAGGTTTGACGAAGTCAGAGGGGCCGAAAGGCTGACCCATTGCCAGAACGTTATACGAGTATCCGTGCAGGTGGAACGGATGCTGTATCAGCGGTACCCCAACTGCAACGAAATATATTGTATTGCGTCGGGTTTGCAATTTTCACGACAAAGTTCAAGAGCGCAGTCTACTTCTGCCTTCGTAACCGAGGCAGATCCTTCGAAACAAAAATGATTCTTGTGCTAATTACATCCATCGACTAGTCCAATCTCGACGAGAGAGTTCAACGGAATATGGACCATGTGCGTGCACGTGCAGTGGGACGAATCGCAACCTTCCGGCAGATCTTCAGCGTTGCAGAATTGACCCTCGGGAAGATCATCCAGCTGGGACAGCGGTGGCGATGGTGGATTTACGAAGTGTATGTGGTCAATCATATCGGACGCGGTGCCATTCGGGAAGGGTACTGTTCGCACGAATCAAGCAGAACATTGAACAGCAAGTATAATTATAAGTACAGCGTTAAACAGGATGGTTGACACAATCGGTCAATTGTTCGATTTACCTGTAAATGGTTCGTAGGTGTTAGGTTTGAAAAGGGTTTTGGGTGGAATATTCCGTGCGCTTATTGCGTAAAACAGTTTGATGTCCGGATCGCCCGACAAATCGTCGTCCACTTTTCTCGAGTTCCTCATATTACTGATGCAAATCGCGTCCGATTTCGCCGCCGTACAGTTTACGCTCATCTGATTAAGAATCTACGATTTCGGATACAATCATGTTCCTTGATTCCGAATTCTCTGACGTGAATCATTCGACGAGCATACTCATTGCTACTCTACTTACGACTCGCTGGGGTGCCACCTCGTTGTACTTAGGCTCAGCTATAAGTGGAGTGGTGGGTGCATTTACGTACTGCAATAACGCCAATGCTTGCATCGATTTGCTTGCACAATCCACCAGTCCACGGACACGTATCCAATAAGCGCCGGGCTTCTGATTCGTATTTATGATAAAGTCGTATCGCTCTCCTATTCAAGTTAAACATATTTGTCAAAAATAAGTCTTAAAAGAATGGACTTTATCACAGACTTCTTGCACATTCTCCAAAAATAGAAAACAATTGCTTATTATATTGTTTGGAGTATTGAACTACCAATGTCGATTGCCAGTTGCAAGAAATGGGATTAGCAAAGTTCTGTTCACACCATACCAGCTGAGGAAACAATTGCATCCACTACGACAGGTTTTACTGATACACCGTCCATCGCAACGACCGTCAGATTATGACCTTGAACTGATAATTCCCCGGCGCAGGTAGTACAGAAGGCGTTCACCAAACGGAAACGGAAGCGCCGGTTAGGATCAACAGTGATCACCTCGTGCGGGCTATTGGTCGTACTATTAGGAGTCTGCAACACAAATTGCCATTCTTTCATTCCACAGCTACACAATTTTTGAAATATAACGGTAAATATTTATGCAAAGCAGAGGTCGAGAGAAACGGTTGTCGATCATTCTTAAAGAAATTCCTATAAAATTGTTAAAAACTATGGTAATTTCAGTGGCAGCGTATCTTACCTTTCCATTGATTAAAATTGAATCCGGAGACTGGCCGACTACTCCAGAGCTTCGACCAGGGTATCGTTCCGTAGATTCCTCGCGCATCCAATCATTGATCACAACTACGTGATTCGCTAAATCGAAATTGTACAGTTTCCAGTTCGGCTCATTTTTCGCTGGCTCGCGTATAATTAGACTGCCAAAAACACCGTCCATCTTGTGGAGTCCTGTGTGCGCGTGCCAGAAATGAGTACCAGCATTATTTGCGTAAAATTGGTACCTGTTAGCGAAGCAACTTTTATTCTAACAACCAATGAAGATCAGCGTGTCTATGTGTATTTAATTTCATTGTGTAATCCACGATCGAGACGTTCAACAGTTCTACGAATTTATAAATTATCGAAACACGAGGCAGCGCTTGTTCGAGAAAGATTGGTGCACAAATTGCTACCGTTATCTGCCTGGCTCGGAAAATGAAGGCGCGGCACAATTTTTCACGTATAAATGATTTCATCGGAACACTTTCAATATATTTCACCCTATTTTTAATTAAATCGTGTTATCATGACTACGGTTACCTAAAGGTAGTGGCAGCATTTATCGGACACTGTGTCAAATTGGGAACACCATCGTAATACTGCGTGCCCTCTTGCAGCACCCCGTGCCAATGAATCGTCACTGCACTTTCACTCACAAGATTCGTAACGTCGACCACAATGCGATCCCCTAAACAAACCTGTATGCTCGGTCCTGGTATCATTCTGTTCACTGTCACCGCTGTTCGAGGCGTTCCGTCGGTGGTAATGCATTGACAGTTAGCACAAATTGTGTTGGTAATGTTGGGGGAACAAAGCTGACATGCCCTGAGGGAAAATTGTTATACGCAACTGTACTTTTACTGATAGTTGAGGACTGTGATAAATACAACGTATCGTTCGCTTACTGTCCGTTGACGGAGTAACGTTCGATCACAAATTTGTAGTAGCAGATCCTCGGCTTTTTTCCAGGACGACAGGTTCGGGCACACTGGAGGGCGTTCGATAAATCCGAATCATCGAGTAATTCATCGTTCACACAGTTCTTTTCATTAATCTTAGGCATACCACTTTGCCCAGGTATGTAACCAGCTCTAATAACCTCGCATTGGTTCCCTTCCTTCTTAGCAGAAACTGTAATAAAGGATCGTTAGATAGCTTCCTGAAGTAATGTCGTCGTTTTGTTAATTCCAGAAATTTGATCTTCCAATTAATCGTATTCAATCGCATACTCTCGCGATGTAATGAAATGATCAAATTGTTACTTATATTTGGAAAATAGTAAGATATTAGAATGATCCAACGGATGCCAAAAGAAGAGAGCAATTTTAAATCTCGTTAAAACCGATTGATGAATTGAAAAAAATTGATTGCTCGATCGGTTCACTGAACTAGCTGTAGTACAATAATTATGCGGTGCAAAAACATCAGAGACTTTTTTAAGATTAATATTTTATACCGGAAACAATGAGAACGAGGCATGAATATAGAATCCAGGAGACCCGCATGGTGACTACAATTTCAACAGACAGAATCTTAACGTTGTTCTTATATATAGTAGCAGTGTTTTCGAACATTTACTTCAATAAAACAGCAAATCTCGTTCTACATGTGTTATCGATAACGTTAATTACACGACCGATGCAAACTTTTGCTTGTATCGTCTACGTCTTCTGTATCTTTTGTATCGCCTACGTCTGCTGAATGTTAGATTGTCGGAAAGGTTTTGGATCTTCTTTATATTTGTCATCCAAATACCAAACAGGAAGACATTAACGAAGAAACATCTACGTGTTTATATTAATCCGTGTCATTCCCAATGTTAATTACTATTGAAAATACTAAGAAATCTTTTATTAAACATTTTAATAAATTCAAAATAAATTGAAAAATTAATAAAATGATAGTACACTAATTATGGTATCGCATTTTCCATACTTGTACACAATGCATATATCACAAACTTACAAAATCTATCGAAATTGCATATATTTCCGAATTGTCGGGAAAAACCGAAGCGCAAATATTTTCACGTATGCTTGTTCAGATTGTGTCAAGGCAGTGTGTAGGCGGATATCACAAAAAATTTATGGCATCGAAATAAATATTTGGTAATCAAATAAAAGATTTACATGTTTTATATACACCCGGACTATACAATTGGCATAGCATACGAATTATTATAATCTGTGGGACTGAATGTCCTTTTTCTTTGGACTTCGCTAGAAAGCTTAATCGGACCTTACAGAATCAGAAAGTAAGAATACTGCTTTGAAAGAAATAATTCAGCTCATGGGGAAATCTTCATTTGTATTATTCCTAAAATAAAGGACTTATGCTTAATATCTATGCTTGGCTCAATTATTTAATACCGTTTCATAAAATATACACATTTGCTGTATTATTTTATTTAGTTTTGAATAATAGGTATACAAGATACATATACAGCTACTGTATCTAATAAGAAAGTTTTCATATTATTAATTCAGTTATTTTCGTGCATGATAATTTGCTTTCTACGTACATATATGTGTGTATATGCTTATGTATTGTATGCCTAACTGCGTTCAGCATAGTTCCATTGACATCAGTACATTTTAACAAATTACTTCACATCTAACGTATTCTGACAGTAATTTCACAATGTTTATCGTAGTTTTGCATTCTGTGCTACACGCTTTTTCGTATTCTCGGAAACAGATATCGTGTTATTTGCTGGCAAAAGATAAGTAATCTGTCAGGTGTGTGGGCGTCCTAAAATGTTTAATCAGTCTTACATAGTCCCAAAGGTGTATGTACAATAAATTATACTGTATGCATAGTGGAAAACATAAGCAACATTTAAATGAACATCTTTAAAATAATACGGGAATTATATTTAGAAACGCAACATCAACTACTCCAGAATCATAAAATGTTGTAGAACAAAAATTTCATCGATCTACGTATTCAAGTTTTGGGGGGATTTTCTGCGTATATGTAATATTGTTATCTCTAATAATTGTATTCATTATTTTTCATTGGATTACTAATGTATAATAGCAAGAATAAATATGACATATTTTCTGCGATCGTCAATAAATTTAATCTGTACGTAATATTAAATTGTCTTTAATTAAATATATTTACGTATAAGGTCTTATTCATGTGCCGCAAATTATAGTAATCAAATAAGTCCTTCTTCCTAAATCGATTTTATTTTTAGTCAAACTGCTACAGAATGTTTTTTGCAACTTGGACAACATCTTCAAGCTGGGACTCCATAGTGTAGAAAACAACCTGCAACCAATAGACGATCTCTAATATTGAGACAATAACATCTATTTTTTAATAGAATAATACACATAGATATATTTCTTATTACTCGTCGCTTGTTATATTTCTGAATTATTTACTTGAAACATTAACTGATAGAATATGATTTCAATGTTCTATTTAACTATAATTGTACCGTATTTTGAATGGATTTATTTAATTAGAGCGTAAAACGGAACTGTGTGAAAGCTACAGGCGGATCTAATTTCTCAAACTACATTATTCATCTCACCTGTGAGATAGCCTACAATTCCGTCAACATTCCTTTTTGCAGCCAATGGTAGTTTATTATTAATCCTGAGTGAGCGTGTGTTTGTTAATTAATACTTATCTCCGGCATATAATTTCCGCATTTCGGGAATTTCTTTGGTATGGGTGGTAAATCTTCTTGTTCCCCAACACGCACGATCATTGCCATACCACTTAGTTGATGATAAATGAAGTGGCAATGAAAAAACCAATATCCTTAAAAAAGGTGAAAAGATAATTAGCTGAACTCGTGAGGATGTGGCGAAGAATAAACTATAGATTGATTTTCAAATTATAGCAATCGCCGTTAAAGGTATCGATGACTACCATTAACTTATCGGTAGCACCCTGTTACCGCAGTAAAAACGACATTTACGTAATTATTGGAGGACAGTAAATCGAGATTGTAGATAAGGAACACACAGATACGAGTCATACCAATAATATCACAGAAGGCTGAAACTTATTTAAAATACATATTATATTATTTAATAATTCAATGAAACAAATACCTGGATTATTAGCTTCGAATTTAATTACAGCAAAACCATTGTTTGGTACGGCAATAGTATCCTTCTTTGGTGGGTCAATTAGGTTTCTCTCTATCTCATTGTTCGCGTCAAGTTGCTTCACGTAATCGACAGTGATATAGCCAGTAGAATTGCCGCTTGGACCAAGTGGCTGGCCCATGCTCACAACACTAAACGCGTAGCCGTGTAAATGGAAAGGATGCTCTATCCCAATTGCATGAACTACAATTACGATGTAGATGATTGTTAACCAGCAAAACTTTCAACAGATTAAGTACAAATTCATTAAGAAATATTCCAATTTAGTCGTGCACATTTAATGCAATGTTTGGTAATTAATTTCAGGAAAATGATCGAACCAACTTGGAAATACCTCCAATACTGGAAGTTTGCATCCACATAAATAAATATTTGAAGCAATAATACAAATTTGTATAAAAATTGCAAAGAGTTATCGATAAGTGGGGCGTGTCATGCCGCAACAGGGCGTTGATCGTGTACATTGATTTTGTCCTTGACAAGACCAACGTACTCATCATCCATGTGTATTGTATATGTGTATGTATTCAGGATCGATTGTCTTCTTGAAATTAATTCGTAAATATTCGATTGAAAAACCCAAGAATAAAATAACATATCTCTTTCATGATCATGGAAAGTAATGAATTACTTACACTCATCGATTAGTATGATTTCTGCGATAGCGTTTAACGAAATTTCGATCATATGCGTGCAAGTGCAATTAGCGGTGCAGCCACGAGGCAGGTCTTGAGAATTGCAGAACTGATCTGCCGGAAGATCCTCCAACTGAGATATCGGCGGCGAGGGTGCGTTCTTGAAATTCACGCTGTCTATTATCTGGCTCGCGACTCTGTTCGGTATTGGAACTGCGTGCACATAAAGAACGTCAAAATTACAAAGCCGATCTCAGTTTCATAGAGAAATCTTACCTAGAAAGTCTTTGTACGTGTTAGGACTAAAGAACTGTTGTTGATTTTGATGGATGACAGATATGGGCAGATAAAATTTTTGATCCGGCTCTGCCTGTAAAGCAGTTTCGTCGGCGGGTTCAGCACTTTTAAGCTGACTTACGCAAATCGCATTAGGCACCGATTGCTCGCAATTGCCTATCGTTGGGTTCAGCACCTGCGAATTTTGGAACTGTCTTTAGTAAAACGTGACTGCATAACGCGATAATAAATATTTCTCTGCGCCTGAAATTTAACGGCGAGAAAGATTCAAATTTAAAAAAAAAATTTATAAATTAAAAAATTTTGAAGTATGGTAATAATGAATCGCAACGTACGGTTCCAGTGGGAAGTCCACCAAAATAAGTAGGTTCATCGGTAAATGGTATCGTCGACGCATTACTGTATTGCAGTATAGCTAATTGCTGAATGCCTGAATTACACTCTTCTAATGCTCGAAGTTGTATCCAGTAAGCGCCGGGGGTTTGATTCGTATTTATTACGAAATCGTATCGTTCTCCTGTGGTAACGAAAGCATGAGAAATAAAAATTAGCAAAGCCTCGCGTCCGCCGGTTACTTTACGAAAATTAAAGAAAAGTTTCCTTCTTCAACTAAAAAATTACCTACTGTAAGACTAAAACAAAAATACTATCGGACCTTGTTAATTTGTAAGTTTTTCTCGTAATTTAAATTCTGTATGTGCCATAAACGCATAAAAATCCTTACAAATTGCTATCAGTTTCTGGAGTTAATCCCTTGTCGTGCTTTGACGAGTCCGACTCGTCATGAAAATTTCTAAGAATGACTTACTGAGTATAGATGTTATTCTGTCCTTTAAAATTGAAATAAAATTCTAATCTCTTGTCATCAATATTTAAGCATTCAAATAAATTTAGGCTCACGCGATAAGCAACAATTTTCTTTCCCTTCTAAGAAATTATTGTACTCGAAAAATTTCTAATCGCAGTAATTGTGGAGAAAATGGTATGTCAACGGGTTAAGTATATCATACCTGCATATGAAACAATAGATGTCACGACGACAGGCTGCACGGACTCCCCATCCGTCGCGATGACAGTCATATTGTGACCTTCAATTGTTAATTCTCCAGGGCAGTTACCACAGAAAGAGTTAATCATACGGAAACGGTAACGATTATTGGCATCCACTATGATAATTTCCATGTTACTGTTTATTGTATCCTAAATCGTAAAGCGTCCCATTAGAAGTATTTCGCACAACAATGNTGTCATGCCGCAACAGGGCGTTGATCGTGTACATTGATTTTGTCCTTGACAAGACCAACGTACTCATCATCCATGTGTATTGTATATGTGTATGTATTCAGGATCGATTGTCTTCTTGAAATTAATTCGTAAATATTCGATTGAAAAACCCAAGAATAAAATAACATATCTCTTTCATGATCATGGAAAGTAATGAATTACTTACACTCATCGATTAGTATGATTTCTGCGATAGCGTTTAACGAAATTTCGATCATATGCGTGCAAGTGCAATTAGCGGTGCAGCCACGAGGCAGGTCTTGAGAATTGCAGAACTGATCTGCCGGAAGATCCTCCAACTGAGATATCGGCGGCGAGGGTGCGTTCTTGAAATTCACGCTGTCTATTATCTGGCTCGCGACTCTGTTCGGTATTGGAACTGCGTGCACATAAAGAACGTCAAAATTACAAAGCCGATCTCAGTTTCATAGAGAAATCTTACCTAGAAAGTCTTTGTACGTGTTAGGACTAAAGAACTGTTGTTGATTTTGATGGATGACAGATATGGGCAGATAAAATTTTTGATCCGGCTCTGCCTGTAAAGCAGTTTCGTCGGCGGGTTCAGCACTTTTAAGCTGACTTACGCAAATCGCATTAGGCACCGATTGCTCGCAATTGCCTATCGTTGGGTTCAGCACCTGCGAATTTTGGAACTGTCTTTAGTAAAACGTGACTGCATAACGCGATAATAAATATTTCTCTGCGCCTGAAATTTAACGGCGAGAAAGATTCAAATTTAAAAAAAAAATTTATAAATTAAAAAATTTTGAAGTATGGTAATAATGAATCGCAACGTACGGTTCCAGTGGGAAGTCCACCAAAATAAGTAGGTTCATCGGTAAATGGTATCGTCGACGCATTACTGTATTGCAGTATAGCTAATTGCTGAATGCCTGAATTACACTCTTCTAATGCTCGAAGTTGTATCCAGTAAGCGCCGGGGGTTTGATTCGTATTTATTACGAAATCGTATCGTTCTCCTGTGGTAACGAAAGCATGAGAAATAAAAATTAGCAAAGCCTCGCGTCCGCCGGTTACTTTACGAAAATTAAAGAAAAGTTTCCTTCTTCAACTAAAAAATTACCTACTGTAAGACTAAAACAAAAATACTATCGGACCTTGTTAATTTGTAAGTTTTTCTCGTAATTTAAATTCTGTATGTGCCATAAACGCATAAAAATCCTTACAAATTGCTATCAGTTTCTGGAGTTAATCCCTTGTCGTGCTTTGACGAGTCCGACTCGTCATGAAAATTTCTAAGAATGACTTACTGAGTATAGATGTTATTCTGTCCTTTAAAATTGAAATAAAATTCTAATCTCTTGTCATCAATATTTAAGCATTCAAATAAATTTAGGCTCACGCGATAAGCAACAATTTTCTTTCCCTTCTAAGAAATTATTGTACTCGAAAAATTTCTAATCGCAGTAATTGTGGAGAAAATGGTATGTCAACGGGTTAAGTATATCATACCTGCATATGAAACAATAGATGTCACGACGACAGGCTGCACGGACTCCCCATCCGTCGCGATGACAGTCATATTGTGACCTTCAATTGTTAATTCTCCAGGGCAGTTACCACAGAAAGAGTTAATCATACGGAAACGGTAACGATTATTGGCATCCACTATGATAATTTCCATGTTACTGTTTATTGTATCCTAAATCGTAAAGCGTCCCATTAGAAGTATTTCGCACAACAATGATTCGTCGATACTGCATATGGGTGAAAATTCTAAAATGTTTCCTTAAATAAATTCCTTAAGAACAGATATTTCTTTTTGAACGAAGTTCCTGATTTTTTTTTCAAATAAAATATAACTGTTTAACTCGATTCTTAATATGAAATTAAGACACAGATTATTTTATTATTCTTTAATACGTCTTTCGGGTTTAGTTGCAACATTTTGGAAGCATAGCAAGGATGTAAATCGAACTTACTGTTCCATTGATTAAGAATTGTCCCCTTCCATTAATCAACAAAGTATCAGGCCGTTGACCGACTACACCCCACTCACGACCCGGATAACGTTCGACAGCGTTTTCGTTCATCCAATCGCTAATGAAAAGCACGTGACTCGCTAAATCATAATCATAAAGATCGATACTAGGATCTTGTTCAGCTGGTTCCCGGACAATGAAGCTACCGGAAACACCGTTCATCTTCTGCAACCCGATGTGGGAATGCCAAAAGTGAGTGCCACTGTTATTCGCATGAAATTGGTACCTTCAAAAAATAAGAACTTTCGTTATTTTATTGCCTTAAAATTGGTATCAGTCGGAAAGAATCGTTGCAGAACGACAATATGCACTGTCATTTTATGAAGGATTAAGTAAACCCGTCCTTTAGCAACCTGGTGTTTTTTGACGTTTAGGCGTACACGACTCTTATCTATAAAGATAATAAAAGTACCGAATATACACATTCGTTCAGAATAAAAATTATATTAACTGAAAGTTCGATCAATAATTATCGGAATTATAATCGGAATTGGCTTTTGCACATTGGTACATTATTATGTAGAATATTAATTTATCAACAATTTTCAATCATTCATTTTGGCTCCCAACAATTTCGAGTCCTCGCACACCTGTTACGATTACCTGAATATGTCTCCAGATGCAATCGGGCACTGAGTAACGAATGGAACTCCGTCGTAATATTGGCTGCCGTACTGAAACAATCCGTGCCAATGGATCGTAATATGCTCCTCAGAAATCATGTTTTCAACATCGATCACGATGAAATCGCCTAAACAAACTTGTATACTTGGTCCCGGAAGCATTCTGTTCACCGACAAAAGGCTCCGTTGCACCCCATTTGCAACAACGCACTGGCAATTAGGACAAATACTGGTACTGTAGTCTGGGGAACAATATTTGCATGCCCTACGGAATTACTTGCTCGTTAGTTCTCATTTATTTAAAAATGAGGCTCGTTAGCAAACTACAAAGAGTAATTCAATCCGTTTATTTAACGGCTAAGAAATATTTTGAAGATGCGAATGGTTACATGCGTTCATATTACGCTACAAAAGCCTATTTATTCACTTGAAAGTACTCAAAATATTTTTGTTTAATTTCAAAATTGACAGATTTCATATGATCTTTCATGCACATGTATTGTCTTTGTGGCTAACTCAGTAAGAGTTATCTGTTGCTATATCAAATATTCAATTTTCTCTATATTGACAACAGTAAATAGCCTTTTCTTCTTTTTCTGCAGATTTCTGTACTCTCGAAATATTCTTTTAGTTTCTCACAATCGGTTATCGTATTTTAGTCGAACTAATAACAAAGAAGGATCGGAAATGATCGGAAATAATACTACATTTTCAATTGAACTATATTTCTCCTTTGTATCTGTAGTTTTAGATAAGATATTCTCTACATAACGAATTGATAAAAATATATAATCATTATTTTTATGCTTACGTGCCATAGACAGGATACCGTTCAACCACGAAATGGTAATAACAATTCTTCGGTTTACCCTCCTCGCAGGTACGTGCACAGTCAAGAGAACTTGACAATAAAGAATTATTGTACAACTCGTAACTCATACAGTTCGTTCTATTAACCGGTGTCATCCCACACATTCCAGGTACATAACCAGCTATTATCTGTGAGCTTGACACATCATTCGCACCTGAAATTGTAAGTGAATAAATGCTATTAAAAAGAATGTTCTTTTTCATTCAAGTCGACTGATTATACTACTGTAAAATTTTATAGGAATTATTAATATTTTGTGTCTTTATTTGTGTATTTTACATGATTATCTGAAAGCACGGAAAAAATAATAATAATGAAAACGATATGCCTCTATGACGTGAATATATAGTGTCGTCGAATCGGCGACATTGAATTGCAAAGGATTAAAATAATAGAGACGAAGTTGCTTTATTTTAAATGCGTAAAAGACATTAAAAAATAACAGTTGTATAAAATTAGAAAAATGGTATTTTGTAATTTATGAAGAATCAAGAAATATCTTTGAAATGACTTTCTCTAAAATATTTACGCGTCTCAACGTAATGACTGAATCGAATAATTCAATGATCTTGACATAAAAGTCCCGAATAATAGATGAACATCCATTTTAATTAATTTCGACAAATTTTGTATCCTAAGAATAAAATTCCTCGAATAAATGTTCGTTGTATCCTTGAATAAAATTTTGTATAATAAGTTTTATATAGTAATTTTATTTGTTATAACGTTTAATAGAACTGTACAAAATATTCGTACCGAAAATGAGAAGCGCAGAACACAAAAGTGCACCCTTTAAGATGTTCATCTTGCTTGTGGCGTAAGAAAGTAATTTCTTCTTATATAAGCAGTTTGAAACAATAATTATCCCGTGTTTTGCTTCAGAATCTTTAATTATGACTTAAGACTAATGGTGATGATGTAATTACATTTCATTGTTTTCTTATCATTTCGCAATGCAGCGACAGTGCAATTACACTGCAATTATGACATTTTAATCTAGTATACCGTAGCATGATCCTACGTTGACAGTGACATTTATCTTATTACAGATAGTTTGCTAATTGAAATGCAAATTTAATCAAAATCGGGTGTCCTATTTTTACCTATTTTTCGCAAATGGAACATGTTATGATCAATTTTGAAATCTTTGAAACAGCAGTCTACATCTTTATTAATAATAAATTGTCTCTCGAAAGTGTATATTTACAATATTTCTGATGGTCTTTCTTATTGCTTCCTTGTCCAAATTGAACAATTTATCTAATTCAAATTTCGTTCTCTCTCTTTCATAGACAGATGATTTCTTGGAAGAAGGATATTGCAAATATAAGATGAGTGCTCAAGATATTGTAAGCATTTATAAAATAGCGAAAATGTGACACCTATTCTTTTGATCTTCAGTAAAAGCGGTACGCAATGATCAGGCACATTTTTAAAATTCCCCTCGGTACCGAGTCGGCAAAACATGTCCAAATTCGACTTCTATTGCTACTGATAGACCAATTTGGATAGATGTTCATGCGCCGTACTTTTATCAATGCTTCGTGATTTGCACGTAAGAAAATAGAAAATGCAATTGAAAGTAAACAAAAGCACATTAGAGTGTTCTCGTATTTCTTTGTGACATTTCACAATAATTATTTCTGTAAGCAACATAAACATTTATTCCGCTGTCTATTCGAAACTTCATATGGAATACATTTTGCTTGAAATGTAAAAGATGATCTGCGCGCAAAATAAATCTTGCTGTTTCAATTGAAAAATATCGTCATAAATAACACGAGAAAAATAACATTGTCATTTATGTAATTAATGTGACAAACAACTTCTTTTTCTGACAAATATCTCGTAATCGTTTGTTATCCACGTTAATTACAATATTGCAATGAGATTTCATGCGACATTTACACTTTTATGTCAGAAGTATAAAAGTCTCTTTCGGTGTGTCAGTGTCACAAGACAATGGAGTTACTGCTTAATCTATAGGGTGTTCCACAGGTTTTTACACTTACCAGCATGCGCTGTAGGTATTAGAAAAATTAAATCACTTTCTGTTTCTCAACAGCATACCAGGGTTTAAACACATTTGTAATTTTTCTCGTATGATTTACTCGACATGACCATAATTGATGAGGAGGAGCAATCGGTTGTACATAGTAGAAAGAAAAGTTGTACTACATTGATTGAGATAAGGACATATAGATATATAGAGATAGTTATAGATTAGCAGAAATGCAACACCTTCAGTCGACAGCACAATGTATACGAGAGCAATTCTTTTGATCCTCGGTTTAATTATCAATGTTCACGGTATTTTTTTTCAAATTCTGCAATACAGCGAAAATCAATAAAATTTAAACAGTGAATTATTATTTTATTTTAGTAAATTCATTATTTCTGTGACAAGTTGCTTGTTTTGTGTAATTTAAAATGGCTATAAGTGATACAGATTTATTTGTGCACACTTCTAGGAGCATTGGTACCACGAATCGTCGGAGGCCACAATGCAACACCAGGAAAATTTCCTTACGAAGCATGCATACTGAAAAGATCTTATTTTATATGCGGCGGGTCCATCATTTCGGAAAACCTAATTCTTACTGCAGCTCATTGTATTTATGGGTAAATTTCTATCAGAAAGTGCATTTATTAAATTAAAAATGGCATATATAAAACGAATTGAAAATGTATCGTGCAATTCTTTCTTGGATGATTTCCAAGAAAGAGTTAAAACTCTGTCTTGATAAACGTGGAAAATTATATATGACACGCGAAACTTAACAATCAATATATCAAATTGGATTATTACACTTAATTCAATGCAGTGTTTGTATTGTACCTTCGTGAACGCTAAATTTAATTTCCAACCTTCTTATCGTCGAACGTGTGTTTGCACCTGATAAAAAGTATATCGCGTCCGCCGATTTTATCTTTTCACTTCCTAGCATTTTTGTGCACGCAGTTTGTTTCAGCCATGCTGATATTATTGAAAAGGAATTGCTCGTGACGCAACATAATATATACTATAATACGAAATAAAGATTATTAATCTGAATTAAACGATTACAGAAAGCCCAAGCTCTTCAATTTAACTCTCATATTGCAAAATATTTTATATCTTTCCATTTTATAATACTAATATAATACTATCGGGTTGTTGACTTTTAGTTTGTCAATTGATAGTTTGCATTTCTTTGAATTTACTTCATAAGTTATTTAGTTTTATTTTATTTTTTAGCATTTTGTTAATCATGCAATGTGTTTATGCAGGGAGAGTGTCTCCGACATCGAAGTGGTTGTTGGAACTTATACTTTGCCATTATGGAAACCCGCGATAAAATATTCACCGCGGAAACTAATTTGGCATGCCCACTACAACCCGCAAAAAGATTTTTTAAACGATATTGGTTTAATATGGTTGACTAAAAATATTCCATTTACCGAAAACATTCAACCAATTCGTCTTCCGTCCGTAAATCGCGATGCAACGGGTGAAAAGGCTGTTATTACTGGCTGGGGAAGACTTTCCGTAAGTTTATCTACAATTTGTTTGCAACGTACACTGAAGTTAAACTTATATTATGATATATGATGGAGATATTTTCTAATGAAGAAACCAGCGATGAAATCTATCGTAAACCTAACATTACATTGCTTTCAATTAACAGGAGGTAGTAAGACAAAGGATCCGCCACATTTTATGGGGGATATTTATTTTATTTGAATTTAACAGCATTCGAGACAAATATGATATATGCTAAAATTTTTAATTATAAAAATTCTTACTTCTACAGGAGAACGGAATAACTCCATATATTTTACAAGAAATTGAATTGGAGATAATATCACAACAGTATTGTCTGTTGGAATGGAATGTAACGGATTCTCAGATCTGCACGCTCACAAAAATATCCGAGGGTGTTTGCAATGTGGGTATTATGTTATTTAATACCCGTGATTACATCTAAACAACTAAAAACCTTCAAATTACAATAATATTTCGATTTTAGAAGAATTTAGTTAGTTTTTCTAACTAATCTCAAGTATACATACATATAATAAAGATATAGTTTACGGTTTATCAATTTTGTTACTTTTATTTATTGGCGATTACTGGACGCCGAGATAATTACTATTATCTTTTTTCCGTTTTCAGTAATAAACTCTGACTTCAAATTAATAACATAATTTCTTTCAGGGTGATTCTGGTGGACCATTGGTTTTAAATGGTGAACAAGTTGGAATCGTCTCATACGGAAGCCCGTGTGCCAGAAACATTCCTGACGTGTACACCAAAGTGTATAGTTACAAACAGTGGATAACGGAATACACAAAATTTACAGCCACTTTTTCAAATGCAACTAATACAATTACGAAAGTGTGGATTTCGTCGATACTAGCAATATTGACGTATTTACATTTTCTTGTATAAAATGATCTCGTTTTACCATACGTCCATAACGAATTATGTAGACAATTAAACTATCAGCCTTTTTCAAAAATCGTTCTCGTATTTATTTTGGTAATCGACGATAGCACATTTATTTGATAATCGAAGTTTATAGTTGTTCAATATAGAAGTTTGTAGAAATTGTAGAAATAAAAATAATTTAATGTCGATACAGAAAAAAATGAAAATCACACAAATGAGTAGGGAAATACAGCATAACATATTTTGTTTACCTTTTGTTCGTTTATTGAGTACCAAGATTTGAACACAATTGCGATTTTTCTTGTATGATTTGTTCGGCATGATATACTTTCCAACAAATAAGATAATTTCTAGTAATCTTAAATAGGGGATAGTAATTGATGAGGAGAAGCAGCGTTATTGATAACACTTGATACCAGTCAGTAGTACGTAGTAGAATGAACAGTTGTGTGCCCACAAGTAAAAGCTGTAGTCCCAATAATGAAAAAAGTAGCATCGTGGGATTACTAAATAATGCCTGTATAAAATAACGTAAACCATAAGCATGTATATACAAAATCATCTTGTAGTGTAACTGATATTCAAATAACGTACATAAAATCTGTAATGATTTGAATTTCCTGGTTCCGCTACTGTACATACTCCTTCGGATCGATAAGTCTCTTTATTATGCCTTACCACCGAACCATGAGGCCATAAAACCGAATCATTCCACGCTTGTGCGTAGGTATGATTATTACGATTTTCAATTTTAACCCATCGGCCTAGGTGTAATGCTGCTCGGTGTAATACGTCGCAGTACCTAAATAATTACGGTATTCATCAGTTTTCTGCAAATGAAGGTTTTAATGCAACATTCACAAGTTGAAATCATAAAGTACAAATGCAATTAAATAACGGTAATAAAAAAAAGGAGTTCCGTTCATAAACTATTGCATGAAGTACACACCTAACTGGATAAGCTTGAGAAAAATGAGCACTTATTTTTCCAATCCAAAACATAATGACATGTTGAACAACCCATGAAACGTTAAAATGTAAATATTGAGGTACAAATATAATAGGTGCAATACCACATATGTAAGCACTACTAGAAGATGTGAATAAAGCTCGTTTTAAACGACGATTAAAATCAGACCTCAGAGTTGCAACTTCTGTTCTAATTGCAGATGCATTCAATGAGCAATTATGTAATGGCTTATCTATATAAAAAACAAATATTTTAAATTGAATGTACTGTATATAACAGATACAGTATACTTTTTTTTAAAAAACTTCAGGCTATTACAAACCCAGTGGATATTTTATTTTTTTATCATCTTTATTGCATACAGATGCTGTTGATATATCGAAAAAAGGTGCTGCACTCATACCAAACATTACAAAATATACAGATAAACTTCTGAAACAAAGTAGATATATTAAAAAGAACTTTCAAATTTAATATATTTGGCTACAATACTAACAAATATGTTGCAATATACCTACGGATAACATAGATAAAAAATTTTCATAGAATTATGCCTTTCAGCCATGTGATATAGGCACCAACACAATACAGTCATCACAATAATTAGAAGGATTATCCTATAAGATGATAAATGACATTCTAGATAACATATACCTAGTCAATATAATGAATAATAAATAATACCTCATGACTTTTTGAGCAGTGTACAACCAGCGAACAGGCACTGACATATCAATAAGTCGATGTAGTAAAGAATAAATAAATTGCCGTGCCATCATAGTCACAATGAAAATGATTAAGTAAGGATCAATTAAATAAAAATTCTGAAACAAACAGAAAATAGTCAAAAATGTGATCTTATGTATTAATAAATCAATATAATATATGTAAATAGTACAGCATACCATACTATAACTATTGTATGAATGAGGTAACCACCACACAGTTCTATATAAATTAAGCATTTGTAAAGAAGCTGCAACAAGCGACACAACCAGAGACAATGCTTCAAATGTCAAATGTCCATCAACAGGTACAATTGGTATAGGTACATGTTTTGGTACTAATGTTTTTACTCCACATAAGTCATCTGATTTCTTGTCATCTACACCACATCCAGTTGCCCTTTCACCACTATTACTTCTCACAGTTGCATTTGTACTTCCAGAGAAACTAGTTTGTGACTTAGTCTGACCATTTCGACTAGCACCATTGCGTCTTCCACCAGGCATAATGTCTGAGTTTACATTCCAAATATGCTTTTGTAAATGTAGATAACTAAATATAAGCTTAGTTACATTTTTTACAACCTTATAATTTTAGTCACATAACGAAACCATAGCACAACAAAAATTTATAGTAAATGTAATAAAATAACTTCCACTTCTCTAAATAAATGTTCTCAAATAATGACATGAAATATGTAATACTTTTGAAATCTTTAAGATAGCAAGTACTTTATGCGAAAAGGTATGTTACGAACATCGACACAAATAATCCTTCTTTTAGCCAACAGTCATACAATTTTAGATAATGGAATTATTCTATAATGTTTGTTTTTGCTTTAAACATGAATTAGATGTATATATGCCACTGTTGCCGGTTTATTGTAGCCATCTAGCGTACGTAGGGTAAAACTACATATGTAGAACTCTTTCTAGCTTTTTGCAAACAATAGGGGTACAAGCTAAATAATAAAACAAATTTTAAATTATGCATAATACAATATATTTGGGAGATGTTCGGTACACATACGTATTTTACTTTTTGTAAATTATGAATATTTTGAACAAGTTTTGATATTAATTAAAAAAGAAATTTTTATAAAAAAAACAAGATACATATATGTAATACGAATTATAGCAAATCTCTAAAACGATCATTGGCAACACTGATTACGAAATGTTTGCAGAATTCTTTTGGTAAAGTTTTATAAATATTGGTACAGCACAGCTTCCATTTTGAAAGCGAAGGTACTCGAAAAGCACGTTAAACTGCTCTTCACATACTCTTTGGATGAAAGCGCTGTGTTGTGCGTCTATTTCAGTAGCATCATAATTTCAGTGCAGTTTCGTAAACAATTCTAGCGCTTAATTTCGACAAACAAAAGAGAAAATGCAGGGAACTATCATAGAAAACTTGAGTGGTAGAAAGCTTTCAGTGCTTGTAATTTTGCTTATTATAGCACAAATTGTTTGTTTTCTAATGGGTGGTCTCATCGGTAAGTTGAAAATGTCAACCATTTCAAAATTGTACTAGTATACAAAGAATTGTTGATGTTGACGACTTTTTCATTCTAAACATGTATAAATTTATAAAACTTCCTCTTAATACATAATAATTTCCATTTTTTTTTACTTGCATTTAAAATAAATACTAAAATGTTTGCTAATTAAACAAGTCTTTAAAATGTATTCAGGTTTTATTTAAAAAAACACGCAATATTAAATCATATATCTTTTTATTATTCATAACTTGTGAATGTCACATATTTTTCAAATATACAAAGATATGGAATATTTAATATAAGATTTGAAAGAATTATAAAAGTGTATTCACATTTGTAACATAGTCCTCTGTTGAATACATTTATACAAATAAATAACTTCAGACAATATTTATCTTTTGGTTCAGCTCCAACACCTGCTAGTAGTCAAAATATACTTGGTACACCTTGCAAGGATATTCGTGTGAATGGATCTGAACCTGGAGGAAAGAAATGGTTTTATTCAAGGGGAAAAGGATCTTGTAAGCTTGTTGATATGGACCATTTTAGCTTTGATAGTCATCACCAGGCATACCAAGTTGTATACACATTTCAAGTAGGTTTCTTGGAACTTTTTCTCTTAAATATGTATCTAGTGTATAAGATTGTTTAAATTTAGAAATACTTATTTTTAATTTCCTATAGATGCCTGTCCCACGAAATAGAATGCAACTTGATTATTCCAGATGGCAACAAAATTTAATAGGTGTTTTACAAGTGGATCTTATTCACCATAGTCAGATAAAAATTGGTATGCAACTAGATTTAATTTATGAGTTATGTTATTGCTATGATAGATCTTTCATGTCAATTTCTTTAGCTCCTAGAACCAAAATAACATTAGATGCCAGACTTGCATATAGGAACAAAGGAGATCCAGATGAAGATTGGAAACCTTATGCTGCCTCTGTAGTGGAAAGAATGTTGGATTGCAGTATCGATGATGTGAATACATAAATAAAATACTTACTTTGAACAGAATAATGCATACACTGTGTCATTTACATGAAAATTTTTTTTAGCCAGTGGAACAGCACTATTATAAGTGCAGTGTGGTACCATTATTTGAATTAGGATCTCTATTCCATGATTATTATCTTTTAAATATTCGTCTTCCTGCGGACACTGACAGAAACATCAATCAGGGTTTGGGACATATAACTGACTTATGGCTTACTGTAAATATACAACGTATTAAGACATACTTACAATTGTAAGAATGAATAAATATAATCATCATGTTGTACTTTATAATTTAGGCTATTAACCAGAATGGTGGATTTACAAAGGTATGGGTAAGTTTGAAGACTATTTATTTCCCAATTGTCATATGTGTCCTTGCGTGGTATTGGAGGAGAGTAAACATGCTTTCAAGATCCCCAGCTCTTTTGGAATATTTACTTTTAGCATTGGGCTCAGCACTATCATTTTTAAATAGTACGTTGTATATCTTACATATTCATTATCTTAATGTAATTTATGAGTATTTAATTATTTTGTGTATTTCATTTTTTTCAGTGCCTTTGGAATACTTGACCTTAGCTTATGATATGCCATTTATGCTTTTATTGGGTGATATCAGACAAGGAGTGTTCTATGCTACTCTTTTGTCCTTTTGGCTTGTGTTTGCTGGAGAACATCTCATGGTAAGAATATAAAATACGTGTGACAGAACAGCTTGATTTAATATTATATTACTAACGGTATACATTTCTCTTACACACACGTTATTCATTGCTCAAACAGATACAGGTAAGTTTACTTATTTATAACTATATACTATATTTCGATATCATTTGTGACAAATTTCTTTTATTCATTAGGAAGGGGAACAAAGAAATTCCTTAAAATGCTATTGGCGTCATCTTTCTGCAGTAGGCACAGGGTGTCTATCATTATTTGTGTTTGATATGTGTGAACGTGGAGTACAATTAAGGAATCCATTCTATTCAATTTGGGTTACAGATCTGGGAACTAAATTTGCTGTATCCTTAGATAATAGGAAAACAATGAACCCTTATTATTTGAAGATGCTAGTCTCCTTGACTTAAAAAAAAACAGTTATCATTTATAATTTTAGCTGGTGTGTCTGCTGGTGTGTATTTAATATTTTTATTTTACATGATATGGAAAGTATTTATGAATATCAGTGCAAAGAGATCTGCATTGCCTAGCATGAGTTCTGCAAGACGTTTACATTATGAAGGTGTAATCTATCGGTTTAAGTTCTTGATGATAGCAACATTGTTGTGCGCATCTTTGACCGTTATTGGATTTATCCTTGGCCAAGTATTTATATCTGCTGTTATTCAACTTACATTTTCACTGTCATTAAAATTAATTCCAATGTGCTTTATAGCTAGCAGAAGGTCAATGGAAATGGGATGATGAATTACACTTAGAAATGACATCAGCATTTTTCACCGGTGTATATGGAATGTGGAATATTTATATCATAGCCCTGTTATGTCTGTATGCTCCTTCCCATAAGCAATGGCCTATTGAACCATCTGGTGAATATAGATGTTTCTTTCCATTGCTATGGCTTACTGTAATCTTGTTCTAACTGACGTTTAATTCCTTACAGAAAATAGCCTTAGCGAGGAAATTGAATTTTCACGTTTGTCAACTGATCCCAATGAAATGTTGTCTCTGACTGCATTTGCGAGAAAAACAGCCGTAGAGTGAATAACATTATACAAGACGTTAGAGAAACGGCAACTGACCAACCAAAACTTTTGTACTTAAATTCAGCGTACTATAAGTATGGTTAAATCATGGTTTCTTGATATTTATAGGAGACAACGACTGATAATACTCTAATATCCTTTCGTACCAAATCCTAATTCTTTCATACCAAAATCAACTATTTATTAAAATCAATATTTTCTAAGCTTCACTTTCAAACACAACATAGCATCTAATATGCGATTTTTACAAAGGTATTTAACTAAATGTTTAGTATTTTAGTAATGAAGTGGATCCAAAGTGCTCTTTAGATTCATCAAATCAACTTCATTTATACATGTACATGATTACGATGGAGTAACGTGTGATACACATATTTCGAGGGACATTCCATTCTAGATTTAATCAGTATCTATTGAGTAAGATTTTTTTACACACTTGGACATTAAACAGCCATAATACCATCGCTATAATTATAGTAACTATTCTCAATCCAGTAAGTAATTTTATAGACTCTAGTTTTTTTAAGGAC